TCTAACAGTACGATATGTCCACTGCCATCAAAGAATGAGTATAGAATGTGATCAGAACTCACGTTATGCTGGGGATTTCATTTTTAAGCTGAGCCTGCCTGCCTGTTGACAATCTACAGCACTGTTTCCCAATCCAGTCCACAGGGACCCACAGACAGTCCATGTTTTTGTGGACTAAAATATGGACTGTCTGAGAGGGAGCTGGGAGGAAGCAAAAACATGGACTGTCTGTGAGGCAGCTGGGAGAGATCAAAAACATGGGCTGTCTGTGAGGGAGCCTGGAGGGAGCAAAACATGGACTGTCTGAGATGGGGGCAAAAACATGTACTGTCTGTGAGGGAGCTGGGAGGGAGAAAAAACATGGACTGTCTGTGAGAGAGCTGGAAGGGAGCAAAAACATTGACTGTGAGGGAGCTGGGAGGGAGCAAAAACATGGACTGTGTGAGGGAGCTGGGAGGAAGCAAAAACATGAACTGTCTGTGAGGGAGCAGGGAGAGAACAAAAATATGGACTGTCTGTAAGGGAGTTGGGAGGGAGCAAAAACATTGACTGTCTGCGAGGGAGCAAGAATATGGACTGTCTGTGAGGGAGCTGGGAGGGAGCAAAAACATGGACTGTGTGAGGGAACAAAAACATGAACTGTCTGTGGGTCCCAGAGGACCAGATTGGGAAACAATAATCTACAGTATATGGTGTATCACCTGTCTTATGTAATGTGGTTTGTTATGGGCATATCATGCGGAGAGCTTAATGGTTAGAAGAATGGAAATTCTTCAAAAACACTGATAAATATGTGGAGGCATAGTGGCTCATACCTCCAGGGCTGGGGGTTTGCTTTCTACCCCGCGCTGTGAGTATGTGAGTTGCATGTTCTCTCTATATTATGGATATTTCCTCCCGCAGTCCAAAGACATGCTAACTGGTGCTTTCAAATTACCTGCGTATGTCTGTGTCAGTATGTGCTTTGTGAAAGACTGGCATCCCATCCTGTGCTGCCCGCCCCCATGTCCCCCCCAACCAGGAGAAGCAGTTAGATGATGGATGGATGAAATAATACATGTTAATTCTGAGTGCGGATGGGAAATAGTGGAAAGCATTCTGCTAGAAAAATAGAAGAAATATATCTGCCCTTTACATTCTTTTTTCTTTTTTACCTACTAAACCACTGTCCGATTGCTCGAAAGTGCAAAAGGAAAAGATAATTGGGTCTTAAATGCTTTTGAAGAGACCTTTTTTACCACCCCACCCCCTATTTTTTGAGGGAAAAAAAAGATAAAAAGGGGCTGTGATTTGAGAAATGAAAGGCAGACAGCACGAAGCCTCTCTAAAGCACTCTACCGCTTAGCGTCCCCCCCGGTCGCCACACGCTCCCGATTCTGCCACGCTCTCACTTCCATGGGACATTAATTTTAGCTGTATTTACTTTTACTGTTTGTACTCACTGTGTTATGAGATAAAATGGGTGAGCATTTTACTGTAGGACAAGCGGGGAGCGGAAATGAAGGCTGGGATTATTACCAGGAGGTTAACAAGTTTCAGCTTCAGAAGAGTAAAGCCGTTAACCCAAAGCCAGTAAATACTAGATAAAGCCTCAGCCACAGAACAGCCGCATTATCATAAACGGCTTTCTGTGTGGGTCGATTCTGTTTTAACCAAAAAAGCGCAAGAAAACACGTGCATTGTTAGCACTGAGTTACAGTACCATAAATGAACTTCTGTCACGAATAAAGGACATAAATTTCTAAATGGTTTTAATATATCCATAATAATGTATGGTCAACCTATAAAACAAAGGCACTAAAATGAGATATAGCACACCAGGTCCAATAAAGCTAGACACTCAAAGAGCTGACCATCGTACCCCGGTCCGTGAGAACACTGGCACCTTCAGGGTTCTGTCAGAAGACGGCAGCTGAAAGTCACATGACAACGGGCCACCAGATGGCTTCTGTAATTTCTGATGCGACTCGAGCATGCATTTGGCGGTAAGCTGCAGATTCAGCCTGGAAGCTTCACAGTGTCCTCTGCAAAGCGGGGTCGCTGGCCTTCAGATTCGACTTCTGTTACTCAGAAAGGCCACACTTACAGGTCAGCAATGAGAAGGTCAGGATAATCCCTTCACGACTAGTACGGGAATGTTCCTGTGGCCCGAGGGCTATGTCAGGTTTCTTTGGTATTATGAAAAAAAGTAGTTTCTTGACACTTTTCTTTACAATTTAGGATCCACCTGCCTATTCTGAAGATGGGCATTCAATCTACATTTGTAAAATATAATACAAAGATTTAAGTTTGCTTAAGTAACCACTAAAGTGATTGTTGCTGGCAGAGCTGGATAGTTCAGGTCCAGAAAGTGAAAATCCAGATCAAGTTTTTGTTTCATCCAACCAGTTGAGTACTCTGTGACTGTGACTCCTGAATTTTTACTTTCTGGACCTGAACAATCCACCTCTGGCTACTGAACAGGAATAGTCAATGTACTCTTAGAAGTATTTTAGTCTTATTTTGGAAGATTTTTTTCTGTTGCAGGCACTTCCTTTACAGGTCTTTCACACAGTCTTTTCCCTTCCTTAGAGCAGTCGTCAGGAGGAAATTATTAAAATGGTCAATAGTTAGCACAAAGGATTCTGGGAACTGCATCTTAGTGAACTGAGGGAATTTTCTGAATGAATTCTAGAAGAATTAATCTCTTTCAACCTCATATGTCTAAAACCTGTGATTATAAAATAATACATTCAAAATGTATAATTAATTACACAAAGGAATTTATACTTTTTGTAAAGTGTTCATTTCATCTTTGAATTTAATGGACACATTTATCCAAAATTATAGCTACACAAAAACCGGACTTAACACTACTAAATGTGCAGTTTATATAACCTTTTGATTTAATACAGCAAGCTAGCTCGGGATAAGCAAAATCCAGTGTTGCATGAATGTTTCCCTAAATCATTTACTAGCCATTCTAGTGAAATGAGGACCTTCTCTGGGTGCTACACACACGGAGTTATCTATATTAATCTGAGTTTTATGTTTGTCACATTTGCTAGCATTGAGCTTTGAAAAATGTCAGTCAACACAAATTACCTTATCAATAGATTAACATTATAGTGGTATATATATTCACATTCTAGACATAATTAATGGACATAATGATAGATAAGGTGGCTTTGTATGACCTGCAATGTAAATTTCATAAGACATCCAATGAATCGTATTAAATCCTGCCATTGAAGCTGCTGGTTGCTCATGCTTTTACGTAAAGCTTGACTCATGAGAGCTATGCTGCGGGTCGAGGGTGCACCAGCAGAGCAGCAGATAATTATCAACATGCGAGTAAACATGCAGAAGCATGCAAATGAAGATCAAAGAGAGTACAAAGAGCAGGGCGCATCTGGACGTCCATGCAAAGCGTCCCATGCAAACCGTCACGCAACTCTTATGCAAGCAGAATAATAATAATAACAGTAATAATAATACAAGTATGACACTGTATTCGCCAAAGAAGCTGTCACCATTTTTACTGATGTTTGCAGTTTGCATGTCATCAATATTGAACATTCTACCAACTACAATAAGCAGAAATGGATTTTATATGTATTATGGAAAAAAACTGCCCGCAGAAATGAAACATGCTAGGTACGACATCTACTTCTTTTTCATTAGTTTAAGTCGGTATCAATTATGGAGCCGTTACAATTAGGAGGTAATGATCTTACTGTGCCATTGGCAGCAGTATTTCATACTCAATTAACCTGGAGTGGATAATTGTTTGCCGTACATAGACCCAAGCAATGAAAGATAGGGTCCATCAATGGGATTAACAGGCTGTTACTGTGGGTTTTATCAGAAACAGTGTAACATTGTTACACTTCAGGGTTACACAGTATCCAATGCTGATTTGTGTCCTGCTTTACTGCCAACCTCTTCAGGGGCTGAGGAATCCCAAAGACACACTGTTCATGGAGATATTACGTCTTTCTTTCAAGCCTATAATTGACCCTGTAGCTGCGTATGTGAAATTTTTGTATAAACCCTTTTGAACGCATTGATAAACGAAGAGGGCATGTAGAACCAGCTGTACTGTACATTTCAGCCTTGCTGACTTAATAGTAGAGGCTGAGTTTGTGACTCTACAAACCAGGAATGTTGTTTTTTTAGGGGATCGTTCACCACCCTAAAATTTTTTTAGCCAACCGAATAAATGTGTATTTATTATAAGGAATAGTTTTCCTGACTCCCCCCCACACACACCCCCCTTGGGCCCCCTATCCATTCATCTTTAACTACTCCCCTGCAACAAACACATGCTGATGTGGGGTTCACAGACAAAAAAATGCCTGAATCTCCGAACTTTATTTAACCTTGAGAACAAACAACAACTTAACTATCAAGAAAGCCTTAAGCCAAAGACATCACTTTAATATGGTGTAATATGACTTGAACTTAAATTTAAAATGAAAGAAAGTTAAATAAAAAACATTTTCTTGCTCTACATCAAGTCAGAGAATAACCTTAAGCTGTGTGGAGTATTGTGTAATGCTATTTATTCTAAAAAATGCTGTTCCAAATTTAAAATAAATTTAAGTTTAAATTACAGAAATAAAAACATGAAATTGTTTAAATCGTACATAGCAGTTTGTAATGGTCTGCATGGAAATTAGTTTTAGCAGCTTAAAAACATCTTATTTATGAACTGCTAATTTTGAAAAAAAAAAAATAAAGAACATCATACAAGGTTTAAAAAAACAACAACATCCAAATGCTTCCACACTAATCTGCTAACTCTAAAGACATCAAAATAAAGCGAGGCAGGGTGTTTAATTTAACGCAGCGATTTGTCTGGCAGTGGCAGGAACCAGTCATGCAGGCAGCGTCGAAAGGTTAATATGCACAAAAGAAGCAAAGATTAAAAGAAGCAGGGCGGAATGAAGCACACAGACAACACATACAGCACAGAAAATCACAGGTTTACCATAAAAAGTAACAAAGGGTAGACTCACAGATAGAAAACTTGTTGCTGTTGTCTTTGCCTGGGAATAATTTTACTCCTCTAGATTTAAAATCTACGGATCTTTTCACTAGTTAAGGGAAAACAAAAACATGAAATCAGGTGAAACAGGTTTTAAATAAATGCTCTGCAGAAAAAGAAATCATCTTCAAGCATATGAATAAATGCAAATTATATCAGTAACAATAATAACAATAATAAACATATTTCAGCATTGAAACGAAATGCAAGCCATGTAACGGGCGAGCTAAAATGGACAAAAGGAGGCGTGTTATTACAGGAATCTCATACACGGCTTCTGTTCGAAAGTCAGGCTGGGGATTATTGGCCAGCTCAGGATGTCCGTGCTGTGATACAGATGCACTGCGGCCTGAACCTTTAGTGTCATCCTCAGGGCCAGAGTCACCGGTCAGCATTTTGCTGACAGATCATGGCAGACACAGCGCTCTTGAGTCTGTGCTCTGAGAACAACAACGCAGGCCCAGCCAACCAAGCCTGAGCGACAAGCCACTGGAAAGATGTGCTTTGTTTTAGTGAGAGTCAAATTCATAGTAAATGCTGCAATACACTAAAACCCTCCACCAAACAGAAGCCATGTAATGATAATGACAGGAATAATAATAATAATAATAATAATAATCATCATCATCAACATCATCATCATCATCAATGGTACTACTTTGAAACTCTGGGTATACCTCAAAATGCTTGAAAACATCAGAAGTAAAGTTTTCCTGAACACTTTGCAATTTTTCTGTCTGTTGATGATGCGTGACACTGAGTAAAAACATACTGTAAATCAACAAACAAATGGAAGAAAATCTACAGGAAGCACTTTATTATATGCCTGTGTTGTCATCATTTCCCTAAGGCACAAGTTTCATCAGAGAATGTCCTAGGTTTCATCACCAGGTAGGCTGAGACGGTGGCAAGAGAATATGAGACTCCTCCGCCGGAACTTGAAGACCGTCTGTCTGCGGTGCTACCCTCCAAACCAGGCCCCGCACCAGTACTTCCCACCACCATCCCTAGAGCTTTCACTAGGACAGGTCTAGAAGGGCTACATTTTGACCTCACGGAGGCACCTTCACTTTAAGGACAGACTAAAATTTTGGCATTGCTTTTGTACCTTGAAAATGTGCTGTTATAAAACTCGAGACAAAAGTTATTCACACATGTAGTGTTTTCCGTTCTAATTTTATCCCATCACCTCAAACAGTATGTCACCTAGAGTGGATCTCCTTGGCTAGGGCCAAAGAACTCAGTTCTACTGCATACTGCTGGATGAAGATGGATGAAAGAGTATGTTTGCCCACCCTTACCGTTCCAATGATGACTGCGACCATCTTGCTACAGTATGAGAATACAGAACCCAAGAGCTTCTTCAAAATATGGAGTGTGTGGTTCATAGATTGGGGCTCGTTTTACCTCCATCTAAGGCAATGAAGACGTCAGAGGTGACACAAAATAATCTCAGATAGAGTGGCTTCCTTCTGTTTTTATAAGACTGAAAATAAAAATGACAAAAACACTGAGACTTTTGTCCGAACCACTAACCCGGAGCATCCTTACACATAACGCAACGCCTAAGAGTCTTGCCTTTACTTACAATGGATGAGGATGTCACCTACGAGATTTCTGGGTACCCCAGGCGGGTAGTGCACTACAGATTCGTACAGCTTTTAGCGTAGATGAACCAGTTGTGGATGAGCCAGTTGTGGATGTCTAGAGAGCCAGATGGACGGCAGGTTGGGTTGGGGGTTTACCTGTAGAGCTGAATTACAGCGCGGGACATAATTTAATCATTATATTTTTTAGTTTATTCTTCTGTCTTCTGCCTTAGGAGTAATATAACATAGCCCTAAAGATTCATCTTAGTGGGAAAATAGCACACACACACACAATTGTATTCATATCTTTGTGGAGACTTTCCATTCATTACTTTGGGGAAAACCCTAATCTCAACAATGACAACAATAATGCAGCCCTAACGTTAACCATAAGTAAACAAACAAAATACAAGACTTTTGACGTGTTTAGTTTTTTGACTGCAGTCACGAAAAGGTGGTCCCCACAACATCAAAATAACAGGTTTTTATCACATTGCGAGGACATTTTGTCCCATAACCTAAAGTATACATAACCCACACACACACGGCTCAGTATGGCTGGTACAATTGGATTAGTACAACTTAGTAATATCAATAAAACACAAAAAATGGAAATAGCTATACACCTGTAAAGTTCTACTGTTTTAATGAACATAATGAAGCCAGATAATAGAGTCATTAGTTTGATGAACTAAATAGCTAGATGGTGAAATCTGGAGTCTTGCATTACCAAAGATGAATAACCCTCCTTCAAAATAATTCATTTTTCATTACATTGCCTTCAATCTCTTATTTCTTCAAAATGTGAGGGCAAACTACTCTGCCAATGCATTTTACTGTCAAAAAAAATGCTGCAATAACCCTCCTGGGGTATGAACCTGCAGAGCTTGAAATACGTTTATTCCACGCTCTTAACCCTAACATGACCAGTATCTGCTTCATTAGGAATCAGACTTTCTTTTTTAACCCTCCTGTCGAAAGCCAGCTTAGCCCATTTTTCGCTTTTAGCTTGACACAGGGGAGGTTTGAAGGACAGGAGACAACGGTGAAGCGGAGGATCCTAACAACCCACTTTCTTATGATGGTAATTCAGAGAAGTCGCTTCCAGCAGGCTACCCAGAGATGGAATATGGGAGAGCCTCCAACTGACAAAGCAGAACAGTCTGCGGAATCAAACGGCTCCTCAGATTGCAGGGTCAACAAAATGGAGCCGGGTCCTCCGAGATGTGCAGCTCTTTAAACAAGTCATGAAGTGTTTATACTTGAAACAACAGAGCGGGAAATAGTGGGACCAAGAGGGAGAGCAGGCCTGCGTCTGCAGACAGCCGAAAGCCACTTGACCTGATCGATGTACATGCCCACACAGCTTTGTGATTAGCTGGACTCCACAAAACCAGAAGGATGTGCATTTTCTACTCCACGGGAGACTCAGAATAGAAAAGGCTTCTTTTTTTCCTTCAGCAACTAAGTCTCCCGGACTGTTTCACATCATCTCTAGGCTGATTCATTCTGATAACCACAGTGTGGGGAATGATGTGGGGATGTGGGGGAAAAAAAGCCAAGCCGACTGGAATCAGAGTCAGGATGTGCAGGATAAACGGGTGGACCCCGTCTCATCCTGGCTTTCATGTCACAGCGAACGGACGTCTTGCTCCATCCAGAAGGACGACACTCCTTCGGGCGATACATGGCGGACAAGCTAAAAAGGCTAAATCTGGCCAGCAGGAGATGGGAAATGAACCTGAGCATGAAATACACAAGTCTATGCATGAAACCATGCGGAAGAATGACCGTGAAAGATCAGCGCGTGGAGGAGAAGCTGGATAAGAGTGAGAGGCTGCTAGGTCACGATGTGAGACAGCTTCTTCATGACCTGCTGAGCTCGACTTGGGCCATAAATTATTGTAGGTAGCTAGCCATACCAGCCTCACCATAGATTATGAAGGGGTTGGGGGCTAAGGTTTGTACTAAGGGGGTCTGATTGTTAAGATAATGAATGGGAACACACTATTTAAACGAATCAGTGTCCATTTATTTGGGGGTGGAGTCAGGAAACTGCCGGTGTCCCTGATAGGAGCATTGAAGAAGAAACATGCCAAGGATCGATTATAATGTTCTGAAAATGCAGGGAACATCTGCGAATTCCAGAAAATATACTTCCCCCAAAAGTATAACTGTCGTGTCACACTGTTCCAAGAAAAGCCCTAGATATGAACACAATGAGCAAAAAAGAACATCTCCTGGCACCACGCAAGATAAGAAGCAGCAAATCATAATGATCTGCTCTTGCAACGGGAGGGTCGGCAGCCTCGATAAGATGACAGCAATGAACAGCCAGTGTATAATCGCCCCTCTGGTGGTTTTCTACAACACTGCCATTGTGTCCGTGTTTGTCCCTCGGACTGAAGCACACCAGCAGTGGTGTGCTGTTTCTTAAGGAACTTGACCAGGCCTGTGTAAATCCACAGAACCAGAGGCAAAGCTGCCCACCCTGATCGCCTGCTGCTCCTTCTATTGCCCAGAGAGTGCCAGATGTAGTGTCCAGACCTTCATCTAGATCAAGAAACACACCATCCCTCCATACTGCTAAATACAGGAAGGCCATCTGTACACAAACACACATAAACTCTCTCTGCTTCTCATGTGGTGCATAACATAACCTCCAGCTGATTTATCCAACTTAGCGCAAATTGGTTTTTTATTACGAGGAAAATATGTTCATTTCTGGAAATGTATTCCTCTACCGGAATACAAATAGCATCCGAAATAAAAATGTTCCTGTATTGCATTTTCTAAATGGCTGGCAAAGCCAAAATAAAAGTTTGGGCAATAATTTAAAACTACCTGACAGTTTTTTAGTAAATTTCAAATTGGCTGGTTCGCAGCATAATGGATGCATCTGTTTCTAAAAATAACACGATGGTTTACACAAATCAAGGTCATCGTTGTGTCAGAATAAGTCAGCTGTAACTATACCTCGCTGTGCCAGTCACAAATGAGAGCCAATGGAATCAACAAATCAATGTGGGCTGCTTACAATACTGATAGTTTCAGTCTAACACTGAAAAATGGCTTGATAAATTACTCAAAATCTTTTGGAATTATATAAAAAATATTAAAGTCAAAGTACTGTAAAAATACAGGTTCTGCTTTATTGAAACAAGAGAATTTATTTTCTTTGATCACTGTTTGTTAGATGGTCATCTATGCATTTATACTATATTTACACTGCTCACTGAAAGATTTTGGTTATTGTGTCAATACCCAGCCATGCTGTCATTGTAGCCTGAAAAGTCAATATTTCATTTTTAACACAATCATTCTATTCACACGTGTGTCGTTATCAGACAGATAATCTGAGCAACTTGCTTTATGTTTTTGTTTGTCTTCTTAGCTCTCGCCCATACCATCTTATCTACATCTAAATTATACTGAGGACAGATCATTGCAATTGTCTTTG